TGGAGCACACGCGTGCCTACTGCTATGTGAGTGTGACTCCCTTCTGGAGTTGCACTTTACGGCTAGGTGAATGGTGGTCTGGATCCGATGGGGATGCGTGGATGTTCATACCGATACTATGTGATTGCGAGTGAGTGGTTGTGTGTGTGTGTTTGAGTGGGTGTTTGTGTGTGTGTGTATGTACTATATTCATTATATCCAGAGCTCTATACACTAAGTACGCCTCGTTTTCAGGGTTCTGTTCTAGTACAAGTTCTATTTCGTTTTCCCTATCTTTTTTCTTGGACTGCTCAGAAGAGAAGGAGTATGAATTAAGATTCGGCAGTTGATACAGAAATCTTTATATATACCTATACATAAAGTATATATATATGTATGTATGTTGTATATAATATGCATTTCATTAACTGAAATCAGTAATTTTTTCGGTTAAAATCGGTTACGTTTTGTTGTTGTTTTGTGGTTGATCTTTTTTTTTTTTTGATTGTTGTTCATTTCAGTTGCTGTTCATCCTGCGGCTGTTCGGTTGTGTCCCTCAAGGACCTTGGCTACCTTGTGCTTACAGTAGTAGCCCCTTAAAAACGTGGGATAGTCACGGGGTGGGGTGGGTTGGTTGGGGATTTAGGGGGACTTAGATGGGGCTTGGAGAAAAGTATAATTACAAAATGCAGAGATAGCTAAGGAGGATATATTTATGCATATATATATATATGTTAAGAGAGAGAAAGAGAGAGTACGGGTATTTTATATGTGTACTGGAGTATAAGGAATAGTTTTTTATAGGGTACAGAAGTTTACAGTTGTCGAGCATTATACAGAGAGAGAGAGAAAGAGAGACAGAGAGCAAGAGCAAGAGACAGAGATAGAAGAGGGCAAGTAGCAAGAGAAATATATACATATATAGCAGCTGCAGCTAATAGACAGACAGAGATACATTTGTAGCTATAGAAGAAGATCTATTCTTAACGGGCGGGTGGTGGGGCCAGCACTCAACTCAACTGTTTTTGTGCGGGTGTTGGGTGGGTGGTTGGATGGATGGGTGTGCTACTGAGGAGAGTTCTACGATAGATTATATGAAATATATATATATATATAGTTTGATAGTTTGATATAGAGTGGAATGACTAGCGCAGTTTGTGGGTTTGGTTTATAATTTTCTCGTATTTTTTTTTTTTCGTTTGCAGCGCTGCAGCAGCGTCGCTTTGGCAGATTCTCCAAGTCTCATTAAACATTTTGTCGGGAGGGAGATATTCTCAGCATCGCACCCAGTCGAAAGTTGTCGATGGTTCGGTGTGGCGGTTTTTCTGTTACTTTTTTCTGGTTTCTTGTTTCTGGTTCTTGCTAGGTTGTGGGGTAGTGTTGAGAGGCTGAGATACAATACAAGGAAGCAGCGGCCGCGGAGCTGAGGCTGATGGTGGTGGTGGTTGGTTGGTTGGTTGGTTGGTTGGTGGTTGGCCAAAATGAGAGCTTGGAGAACTTGCTAAGGCGGCGCTGCCAGCGCGAGTTATAAAATTTAAGAAAAAAATCAAATCATTGCTGTAAAAATTTGTTAGCTAGCTAAGAAAGAGAGAGAGAGAGAAAGAGAGATAGGTTTTCTTTTGTTTTTTTTCGGAGGGGATTGGATTTTTGTTTTAGAAAACGGTTAGCAGAGTTTTTACAGAGTTGTTCCATTTGGCCTTTTTTGCGAGTTTTTCATTACATAACATCCCCAGCCCGGAAATGGGGGCAGAGTTCGCAAGGCCCCCCCCATATTTCGCCTCTCACCGTACGTACCTGCGGCAATGGCCAGAAGCACAAGGATGCCGTACAGCAGCCAGGATCTGCTGCTATTTGACTCCATGGTGGTATGGTTTTCCGCTTTTCCGAGCACTTACAACTGGAACCAGGACATGTTGGGAAATTTGTAGGGCTGATGCTGGATGATGGATGGATGGAGTCCACGCCCCGAACTGCAGACACACAAAGAACAGCAGCCTTAGAGCTGGTAAAACTTTGCTTTCAAAAAAGGTTTTGCACTTCACCTTTAGGCCAGCCGCTTGGCTTTTGATTTTTAATGAATTTTTTGGTTAATTTTCACAAGGTTTTTCCGAATTTTCCACAAGAGTTTGCACTGCTCTGACTGGGAGCAAGTCAGTTTGGGTGCGGATTAAGAACTCTACTTCGGGATTCTGGATAAAAATCAATGGGATTGCGACTTTGAGGCGCGCAGCAGCCGAGTGGAAAGGCCACTGCGCAGGCGTTAAATTTCGGATAAAAGAGAGCAAATTTCGTACGCCCGCTCCCTTATCCAGGGGGTGGCTCTCTCTCTCTCTCTCTATCTCCTTCTCATCCTCTCCCTTTAGTAGTTTGTAAACAAAGACGGCAAACAGCTGTTGGATGATGCTTGCCATGTTGACATGGCATGTGCTCTGCGGTGAGCACAGGGATGCCACCCGCCCCAAAAGAAGTTCCGCCACAGTGCATACGAAAAGTAAATGAATGAGAACGTATGCTTCCGTGTACGCTTAAATTATACGTATATTAATTATGACACAACACTTGAGCCTATAAATTAAGCAAACAAACAACAGCAACAAAAAAACACACAAAAGCAACACCTCAAAAGGTCATGTGGGCAGGGCGCTTAATTTGTTATTTCATAGTTTGTTTTTTTTTTAGTTGTTTTTTTTCCATGATATGTTGCTCCTAATTACTGATGAATATCATTAGCATGCCGCAGTTCCTCATGGCGCCTCAATGATTCCACATAGAATGCATAAAAGGTTAGCTTAGGGAAACACTTACAGCACATTGTTGCAAGCTGAAACATCATTAACATTTTTAAGGTTTTTTTCGGGGTTTTGGGAGGAGGAAGTCAATAAGTTCATGTTCGATTCGTTACAGTAGGGAAACCCTGCTTAGAAAATATCTCTTTTGTGCTATATGGTAATAATAAAAGACCTTTTCTTTTTGCAGAACTCATGGAACTGTCAGCACTTGTTCACACGATCCTTAATTACATGGATTACAATATTACAAGCCCAGCACTTCCGTGTAACGATTTGATTAATTTTCGTGGATAGACGAAAACGTTTAACGATTCTTGCCACAATGGCAAAGCATTGGATAAAAAAACTCTATAGAAATAAATAAAGTTACAGCCAAAAGGAAAACATTATGCATGCCATATAAAGCTGCGCGCTAGACGTTTGGTAATGAAAGCATATTTTTGCATTGCTGATGGAGCCTCAAAAGTTACCTTTGCCTGATGATGATGACTATCAGGATGATGATAATGATGATGATGATGATTTTCATGTGCGCATGACAGCGCAATACAATGCAAGCCAAGCGAAAGACTCAGGCCACGAACGTGCAAAAGTTATGAGACATCATGTGGCAGCGCGACTGCCGTCAGCTCTGGTGCATGGCATGGCAAAAAAAAAGGCACACTAAGGTCGCCTCACAGCGCATAAAAAGCAGCATTTTGAAGCCTTTGTTGGTGTCGGAGTTGGAGTCGTCGCAAGCCGGGCTGCCGCAATTTGGGTGCCATTTTGGTGTCACCCAAGCGACGGCATACACAAGTGCCAGTCAGCCAGCAAGCCAGCCAGCCAGCAGCCACCTCATCATTGCCTACAGCTGGTAAGTATTTCTCCTATTTTGCAGTTTGTTGAGCGATAAAATCAATGGCAAACGCCAACGCAAATTACATCAAATTAATTTCTGTATTTTCATAAATTATTTTGGCTGCATTCAATTGAAACACTTTTGGCCGGGTCGCCGTCGCCTCTCTCAAGGTCGCCGCTCAGCCTCACAGCCCCACAGCTTCACAGTCGCGAAACGTGCCCGAGATGGACCCTCAGCGATGGCCTAGATGCTCGCAGGTAAGTGTAGAAATCTCTTTTTATGCATAACTATTTTCCCCATGGGTGGGGCGGGGCCTGCTGTAGCATTTTAATTTTGTTGCAAGATTTTTGTTTGGCAGTTTTGGATTCATTTAGTTTATTTTCAGCTTTTTAAACTGCAATTAATCATAAATGAGCAAAAAATAACGCGACACGGCATATCATACTCGTATTGTATGCATTAATGTGTGCGAAAAATATAATTTGATATCATAAACATTTGGATTGTGGGCTGCGAGTTCTTTTGTTGCCTTTGTTTGTTTGTTTTTTTTCAGGTGTTTGTTTGTGTGTGCCACAGCCAAATAAATTAATTAGTCAAAGCAATTTGACACTGCTTCTGTGTGCTTGTTCCGTGTTAATTTTTACACTCAAGAACAGCCGAGAAGCACTGGCCAAACGCCAAAAATGAGGCGGCAGCAGCCCATCGAAAATTGCACAATTAGCAGACTGTCTGTGGCTCCGGCTGTAGCTGTTGTTGTGGCTGTGGATGTGTGGCAGTTGCAATGGAAGGTTGGGTAATATTAAAAGTCCTCAACCATATTAACACTTTGGGCAATGTTTTGCGGCGCGCCGCAGTCGAAAATTTGTGTCAGCAGCAGCAGCAGCAGCCAACAACAAATGAAAATCATGCGGCAAAGCGCACGACCGACAAAAAAGCGTCACAATAAATAAATCTCCAGCCAAATCCATGACAAGCACAGCACACAAAACGCTGAACGGGCATGTCAATGATGGCTGGGGCATGCCACATGCCTGCCTCCATGAGGAAGTGCGACGACAAGTGGCACAAGCCGCCACTAAGGGGTTTCCTTATTCCTCCCACATGGGGCAGCATAAAATGAGACAACAGCCAGACATGTGCCTCCCTCCCACAACCCCCTGCCAGACGGCCACCTCTGCATTTCGTGTGGAATGTAGTAATGATGTAAAATACATGTAGTAGTCATGTAGAGTGTACGTAAAATACGTTTACAGCTGCAATTGTTGCATACTTTTCGGGGGTAACAAACCACTTTTGGGAACGTTCCCCTTTAATTTTAATACCAATTTTGGCAGGTTTGGCAACCGTTTATTTGCCATTTTAATTATCGGAAATTACGCTGTTTTCATTTGGCGAAATCAAACCTTAATATTATAACGAAAACCCTAAGAAAAGACTACAAAATAAAACTTAATTTAATCTACAATCTACAAGAGCGAACAGAACTTGGTTGGACATAAACTATATACACAATCTATCGCTTGAAGCGACAGCGAGAGCAAATCAATCGATTTGACCCTTGTGCGCTATGTAGGAGTCGTAGAGCGTGGACTCCTTGCGCCGCTTCAGCCGCGAGCAGGCAATGAAAAGCGTCACCGTCAGCACACAGAGCAGGGCTGAGCCAGCGGCAGTCAGCGCTGAGAAGGTGCTGGTCTTCAGGCAGGTCTGATGCGGCCCTGGGGGCTTTATCTGGCGATGGGCATAGACATCATCGCCATCGTTTTCACCCTCCTGCAGCACGCGCAGCGACTGGAAGAGGTTCACGTTCTCTGATAGCGAAGTCTGTGTGGTGGGACTCTCCGTGGTGGCTTCGCCATCGGCGGAAAATGGAGGCAGAGAGAGATTCGTGGCCGTCATGTTGGAAGTGTCGCGCTTAGTGACCGCCTTCAGGTTGCGCCAATGACAGGGTTGACTCTGAAATAGGGGAAAAAGGCAAGAGACAATGAGCAGTGGCTACGGGACTTGGTCTGACCGGACAACTTACCGGACAACGTCCGTGGCACATGCGGACATCACACTCAATGTAGAGGGCGGGGGAGCCAGTGAACCGAAAGGTTTTCATATACGCATACACCTGTGTCTCGTAGACGCCCGCATCGGACCAGGAGCCCCTGAAGCGTGAGATGAGCTTGTCATCCACCGGACAGCCATGCTGATCGATGAGCTGTATCCGCTTGTTGGCGCCATTGTGTGCGTAGCAATCGTTGACCACAATGTCAAAGCCATCTGTGGATCAATCGCACGATCATTAATCATTGATCATTGAGGCATGTTATATTCGCACTTGATACGAGCTAAGAGATATATTTACTCACCGTATTTGCTTCTCATATAAATGATAAGGGTCAGGGGATCGCCCACACGCACTGGACCCGTCACGCGAGGCCCACCAATGCCGTAGCCATTCTGGATTTCCATGTAGCATTCGGGTGGACTCAGTGTGAAGACGACAGGATTGCCAGTGGCCACCCTAGTGGAAGAAATTGGTAATACATTTTTAAGCGGGGCTGAATCTGAATGGACACTTACTCCACATCTAGAAAGGGAAATGTCACCGTCTTCCAGAAGTCATAGCCATACTCGCAGGTGACCTTAAAATGCTCATCGTACTCCTCCTCAATCAGGGGATTATATTGTACCGTCACCGTGTTCCACATAAAGTTCTAATGGAAATCATTAATGCAACCATAAAATGTGTATTTTATTTATTGGTTTTGTTTTGGGACGTACTGTTGGATTCTTGCGACTCTCCTCCTGCAGCGAGTTCTTGCCCAATGTGCCACAGCGATTCAATTGAATGTAGAACTCGTAATAGTCCCGACCCGAACCATTGATGTACATGCAGTCCGGATCATAGGCATAGCCCGCGGAGTACAACAGTCCGCTGAAGGAGCCATTAAAGCCAATGCGTATCTTCATGTAGTCGTCCTGGCACTCCGCCTCAATGTCTATTCGGGTGAAAAGAGCAGCAACTACCCGTTAGATAATCGGGAATCGGGAATGTGTAAAAGTTCCACTCACGTTGCACTCTCGTGCTGTTGTGCAGAAACTGATGGCCCGCGTATTCCTGATCCCAGTACTCCTCGTGCCACTTGTTGCCCTCATAGGGCGGCGCATGATAGCCGGCAGCACTGCCTGTCGGCGCTCCACTGGAATCCACACCCGTGGAGCCATAATCCAGATGCACAGGATGCCCAATGCGATGCGGTATGTAGCCAGAAGAGTCGGGCACATGATCGGGCACTTCGTGATGCAGCTTATTGCGCTCCACGGCGACGCTGCTGCGATTACGTACATCCTTGGGAAACTTTTTAGGTCCTGCCAGACCGGCACGCTTGGACAGCTTCGAGGCCTGTGTGGTGGGTCCCGAAATGTACGACTTGGAGGAGATGCTGGCCAGCTCCTGCTGCGCCTCCGCTCCAGTGGCCAGCGGGCGACTACCAGTCGCTGTTCTGGGCGTTGGTGTCGTGGTCTGAATGCGAGCCTTGAAGCTGCGTAGAGGTGGCGGCACCACCGTGTGTGGTGCTGATGTGGTGGTGGCCACTGCCGCCACTTTGCTTACCACCGAGTAGTCTGTACTTTGTTCCAGGCCGCTGATGGGTTGCTGCAAGAGACAGAAGTGCGTCAGGCACGTGGGGGCGTATACGCAATGCGATAAATCACTCGGCTCAGGTTTGTGTCCCAAGTCTTTTGGTTTTTATGAGCCCGATACCAAACCAAAAAGTGCTGCATCAGCAGAAGCACCGCAATAGCTGGCCACAAAGCCACATAATTTTTGGCCAGCCAGACAAAAGCCTCTTCCGCTCGCGGTCGGGTCGATACGCAATCTGCATTAGAGCAGAGAGCATATCCGTTAGACAGGGCGGACCAGCGATTGGCCAAGACGATTGGTTACGGTTCATGTGGCCTAATCAGGAAGTTCATTCTAAGAACTGTTAAATAGATTAGGTTTTCCATCTTCTAGACTTGAGCAATGCCCCAACCCACCTCACCCCTCCCTTGACTTGAGCAACAAACCAACAACAGGTGAAAGGTTTCTTACCTGCACTTGGAGCAGCATCAGCAGCCAGAGACATAGCAGCAGCGGCTGCATCAGCATTCTGCACAGCTTCATGTCCGTTGATCAACTGCTGGCAACTGCAAAGAGATACAAAGTGGTGAGCAATGGTGATTCAATGTAATCGGAATCGGAATCAGAATCAAAGTCGGAATCATAATCATAGTCATGGTTGCTGCATGGTTGATGCTGACCTTGCTAGTGGTCACTCAAGTGTTGTGTTGTTGCCCGTTGCCTGTTGCGTTCCGTTCTGTTCTGTTGTGTTGTGTTGTGTGTCTTTTGCCGGAGTTACACCAAATGCGTACGCGGCAGGAAGGAAGTTTGTGGTTCATAAATTAATTGTGGCCAATGTTTCAGATGAGTGTGGAGGAAATCTTTGAATAGAACTACACAAAACGAACATAAAAATACTCTTTTTTAGGATAATGAAACAGAAATTATTGTTCTTGTGCAAGGGACTTTTGAATTGAATCGCTGCATTGCCCACGATACAGACAATCTTTCCCTATTTATATACTTTGGAATTGTTTCTATTTGTACCTGCTAGGACTCCATCGATCGCCTTTTATATTAGAATGAAAGCTGTGCCCATGGCTTCCATCCTATAAATGCTGCGACTCCCTTCTGTTAGGGTATACCTTTGCCATCAATGTCGCTGGAACTATTGCCAGAACAATGACATCTACTCTGTCTCTTCTCCCCCTCTATCTATCTGTATCTACCTATCTGTATCTTTATCTATTTCTGCTGCTCTGTCTGTCAGGCGTTAAGGTCAAAGGCATAAAACTGTCATCCGTTTAATTATAAAGAAGAAGAATCCAAACTTAAGCAAACCAGAAGATGTACCAGCAGACTTTGCTTAAACTTGGATTACATTTTAATGAATGATGTGAGTACACCCCCGCTTCTGCCCCTTCTCCCCCTTTTTAGCTGTTACCCTTCACCCGCCAAATGCTTGGCTGCGTTTTACGCTTAGCTGTAAAAACGCACGCCGTTTGCTTAATTGTTGTTATAATTACTCCAACTTCTGCTTGTTTTTGTTTTGGTTTTTGTTTGAATTTATGGTTTTTTATTGTTTTTTGGTCTCCCTCTGTCTCTCTGTCTCTCTCTCTCTCTCTCTCTGTTATGCAATAGTTGTTGGGCGCTTCTTCTTCGTCTTGTTGGGTTTTTTGGTTTCGGTTTTTGGCTTTCATTATTTATTGTAGCTGTTGTTGTGGGTGTTCTTTGTGGTGGTGCTGTTTTTCTGCTCCTACACGTTGATTTTATAATTATAGTTAATCGCGTTGGTCTGACCTTGAGCCGTTTTCCTACGCCTTTTGCCTCTGCCTTTTGCTGGTTAACTGCATTAATTGCACATACCTAACGGTACCCAAATACACGTTATCGACTCGTGCTGAAGCCGGCTTAAACCGTTTGACAGTTGTTCCTTGAAGAAGGTGCCACAAGCTACGCAGAATTGAAGGTAAAGTTTAATAGGAAGAGCCACAGAATTTGTGGAATATTTCAAGATGAGATTCTCTTATGATTGAGATGATTACAGACCCAGCCCAGATAGACATTTATCTTGATATGATTTTAGTGGTAGTTTCTGTTGTTTAGAAGAGTTTTTCCTGGCAGACAAAATTTCAAAGGAAATGCAATGTATTTATACAGTATACATTTATTTTTAGGATATTCTCTAAAGACTATTCACAGTGAAAAAGCTATACTAGACTGTATTCTAGTGTTGCTGCAACAAATTCCAAGTTCTTGTATGATATTATGCAGTGGATCCCTGTAAATCAAAACTCTAAATAATAAAAGAAACTTTCCTAAGTAGTATTAATGCAGTTCTATGTTCAGAAAGCTTAAATTAACCATCTGATAGTAAGCCAATACTCACATTTCTTATATAAGTTTTGGTTTCCGTTTTCACAGTGTTTGGTTGCTCCCCAAGTCAATCCAGCACTGACCTGCTCAAGTTTTTCTTTGCTTTTCCAACGCGTTTATGCTTTTCTTCACGCCCCCACAACTCACAGCTGACTGCTGTCTGCTGGCTGGTTCACTGGCTCACAGCTGCGGCACGCACTTTGACCAACTGACTTGGCCCATTTCGTGGGTTAACAAATCCTCGCGACTTTAGCCATAAAAGTTGACGATCCGTGCCGAAAAAACAACACTCAACTGAATGACTCAAAGCGGTACAAAACGTTTGGGCTGGCGTTTTGTCTTTTTGTTTGTTTTATCTTTTTTTTGGGGGGGGTTTTCACTTTCAATAATGGTCGTTGGATATTGCGCGATTTTTGGCTTGGATTTTTCGTTTTGGTTTTTCTTGTCTACGTCATTTTGTGGCGTTTATCTGGGGTTTGCTTTACATGTTGCACGTCTCTTGGTTTTCGAGTTTCCAGTTTTTCGGTATTATGTTTTCCGTTTTTTGGAAGCCCGAAAAATCACTCAAGTGCAACTTGCCAAATAGAATCACCGACCGCCGACGAGTGGGAGGAGTACACGAGGCACACGAGTAGTTGCTTGGATATGTAGATGTGTGTCTGTTGCAGATTGCCTAATCTTACATAATAGTCGAGTCTATCTCGATGTGTGTGTGTGTTCCGATTGCCTTCCTTGGTGGACGATGGACGTTTGTAGCTCTTCGCGTCGCGAGCAGGTGTGAAGCCAAGCGCGGCTGCAGCGGATCTTTATAAAGTTTTCCCAGCCCAGCCAACACATCCATCCATCCACTCTTCTATGCATCCAGCCAGCCAGCCAGCCAGCCAGCCATCCGAGGGCCTAGAAGTGGAGCCAGCCAACCGCATTCTCTGGGGCTCTCCGCATCTCAGCGGCTGGTTGTGAAAGAATCTGAGACTCTCGGGCCTGTGATCTAACCATTTTCTGATTTACTTTCGCTGTGATTCGCCGTTAGATACGTTTTGCATCGCGGAAGTCACAGCCGCAGCAGCAGCAGCTGGAGAGAAGAAGGAATAAGCAAATCCAGACAACCCCTTACCTCTTACCCCACCTTACCTTACCTTAAACCAAGGTCAACGGCACCTAACTGTTGACTGTTGTTTGGCCCGTGTCTTGCTCTGTGTGTGTGTGTGTGTGTGTGTGTGTTTAAGTAAAGAGTAAAGTTAGGCGCGTTTAATTGCCTCCTCTTGCCAAGCGTGTCTGCCTTAAAATACTAATCACTAATTAGTTACTCGGCACTTTAGGCGCGTTGTGAAAGGCTCGTCTCGACCGCCCTCTATCCAGTTTGACCCTGGCCAATGCTCTGCTGATGGACATCCACGCAAGGGCAGCGCAGCCCTTGTCCAGCAACTGTGACGGAGTACTCCTTAGATCGCAACGCAACTGCTGACCCACTTTCGCATGGATTTTATTGGGTTTTGGATTATAGCTTTGGGGTAGAGTAGGTTTCAAGATCATCAGAGGGCTGTCAGTCATAGGGAAATTTTACAACTCATATTTGACTATGCATCTCAAATGGTTTTCCCATGCAAATAAAATTCCAATCCATGTAATTTATAGCATAATCTTTTTTTTTTTTATTGCAATTTTTTCATTCTTTTCTATATATATTTTTATCATTTTTTTTGTCCATTTTTCACACATGTTTTTTCATACATACGCGCGCGCTTTTCCAACATAATCAGGCATACATAATCAGGCACAGTATTAGATCTGGTGCCAGGGCTTTAATACAATCTACACATACAATGCGTACACACAAAAACTGAACCAAGGCTCAAACAGATCAATTTATAATCATAAAAATCCAACGTCTTTCAACTCGGAAATTGCTCAATCAAATCCAACATAAAGGGCTTCAAATAATACACCATAAAACAATTCAGTGTGCTTTGCTTGGCTTTGCTTTAAATAAATATAATAATTTTGTTGTTGTTTTTGTTGCACATTAAATCTAAATCATTAATAAAATTGTTGCATATTTTATACATACATATATTTTTTTGTATCATTTTTTCGTGTGTGGTTTTTTTTTTGCATTATCATTTTGTAAATTTTTATTGCATTTTTTTGTTTGTTTTCTTTTTTGGTATTTTATCGTGTTTAGACTTTAAGTTTTTTTTTTGTTTGTTTTAAATTTGAAACTGTGAACGTTAAAATCTACGCATTTACACAGATAGTTAAATTTTTTTTATTTGTTTGTTTGTTGTATGCAATTAATTATTAAGATTAATTCATTAAATATATGTGTGTTTTTGTAGCTGCTAAATTTTGATATTGTTCTGGCAGATGTTTCTTATTTGTTGGTTTTTGTTTCTTTTCCATTTTTGGGGGTTAAGTTAAAATACTAATTAAAATCGAAACGCGCGTTGCCCTCTCGCGCTGCCTTTGCCATGATTGTAATGCACCTCCAGGGGCTCGAGTGGAGGGAGGGGTGTTCTGTGGGGTGGTGCTGCTCCACTTAGAAGCAGCACTTGCGGTTGTTGTTGGCGCCACTGACCAGCTTGCAGTGCTGCATCTCCGAGCGGCGTGGGCGATGCGACTTGGCCTGGAAATCGCGCACCTTGTTAGACCGCTTGATGGCGCTGCGGCACAGCTGCTGATGCTGCTTCTTGTTGTTGCTCTAAGGGAGAGTGAAGAAGGGTGCAAGATTAGCCTATGTTGCCACAGCAAGAGTTGCGCCAAATTACCTTCTGGCTCTGACGTGCCAGAGTCTCCTGCTTCAATTGGGTCGCCGCATGGCGATCGAAGCGAGCGTTGTTCGGACGCTGCTCGTGTAGAGCCTGAGCCTGCTCCGGCTCCAGCTCTGCTACCTCCTGCTGAAGCAGCTCCTCCTGCTGTGGCGCCTCCGCTGGCACGCCGAGATCAAGATTTACAAAACTTTCGGTGCCCTCCTGGGTGGACCTAATACTACGATAAACAGACATGCTGCAATGGCAAAAAGGGAAATCGGAAAATCAATCTACGGTTCCAGCAAGTCCTTACTGGACTTCCAATCTACTTTTTGCGTGCGATTTTTGTGTGGATTGCGGTGGGGTGGGGGTAGGGGTAGGGGGGGAGAAATGTGTACTATAAAGATCACCAACCTTGGATGCTCAATCAATAGATTCTCAAATGGTGAAGTTTCCATATTGATTGGCCCAATCGAGGTGAAGCATGGTGGCGGTGTTACGTACCAGGACTCCTCCATCAGCACGTTCCCACCCTGGCCCTGGCCCTGACCCTGACCCTGTCCATGGTCGCTGCCGCTTGGCGAGGCCACGTACAGCGACTGGCTGACATTGTCAAGGTCCGCCAGGCTGCCGGGTGGCACACTTCTGGGCGGGCTCAGGGTGGAGATGCTCAGCGGTCGGGCCACGCGGGAGCGCTGCAAATGATTGCGCTGCTGCTGCGGCCGCGGACCGCTGTAAAGGGAATGCGAATTGATGTGCTGACGCCGATGGCGCGATGACCCCGATGCTGCCTGGCCATGGCCGGAGGAAGAGGAGGTGCCGCTGGCCCTCGGCTGCTGCTGAACCTCGACAACGGAGAGCTCCTCCTCGGAATCGCTGCGTGGCAGAGAGTCGTCCTCCTCGTCTGGAATATATATATAACGAAATTGAAGATTGATCCTTCATGGTGTGTGGTGGTGTGGTGTGTGGACTTACCCTCCTTCTCTACAATGTACCATTCGTCCTCGTCAAAGTCCTCGTCAATGGGGGCCTCACCAGTGGGTGTTAGTAGCTTCGTTATATTCGCCGGCTGCTGCTTCCTCTGCTGCTGCTGCTGCTGCTGTTGCTGGTTGTATCTCTGCTTGCCACGACGATTCTTGCCACGCTTGCCGTTGGGAGAGGCGCGCACCGGGCCGCGACTGCTGTTGCCCGCTACAGATGGCGTCGATGAGGTCACCTCAATTACATCTCCCGGGGATGGGGTATCACAGGGATCGCTGCAGTCAGCCTGGGCTGGATTCGCTTCGTTTATGTTGCTCGCGGACTCGGTCGTTGCTGGCGCTCCAAATAGAAACGTTGCAAGGCTGCTTAACATTATACAATGCTGCTGGATGCGGCTGCTGGGCGTTAGATGGCGCACTCTTCTCTATATGGTATTGCTTATCGGGTTTTTTGAGATCTTTTTGCTTTGTTGTGGCGCTTAGTTATACAGTTATCTAGAGAGAGACACAAAGACACAGAGAGAGAGAGTGCGGAGGGGGAGATTGCTTATGTGGTTGTTCCTTGGATTTTGCTTGAACGTTGCTCAGTCTTTTATTTATTCCTTTTTGTTTCTTGTTTATTTTTTGTTTGTTTGTTTGTTGCTTTGTACCCTGCTTCGCTTTCGCTGCGTTTCTGTTGCTGTTCTCTTCTAGCGTAGAAGCTGAAAGGGGGAAAAAAATAAAGACAGAAATGAGCATATTGCGTAATCGTTCACCTGTCCGCCACCCACACACACCCCACCGCCCCCCTTCTTGCATGCTAACTAAACCGCTTGTTTTGCGTGGGCACACTCAGTGCAATGGGGCGGATACTTAATTGTATTTAATTGCCATTCTTATACCCTAACCAAAAGTGGTGAGGTAGATATAAATTGTTGAACATTTCTTATTTCTAATATTTCATTTAAATGTTGAAGGAAAATTCCTTCTAAATAATTTAATAAATAAAAATCAGAATAATAAATTACAAGGATTTGGTAGAATATCTTAATGATATTTTCCTGTATATTGGAACACTATTCTATGTCCTTCATTAACATCTAAATTAAGAATTAAAAGAGTGTTTCAGCATTTTCATCTAAAGATTCTCCTATAGATTCCTGCTAAATTATTTATATTTCTTAATTTATTTCTAAAGAATTTAAAAGAGTATCCCACCAGCTCATTTACCGACAACATTTTCCGCGCTTGTTTCGAAAACCAATAATTTAATTTTGTATTTCGTTGGAATATTTGTTGTGTGGTTTCTTTCAACTTGATTTCAATTGAAATGCGAAAGTGAAATTTTCCTTTATACGAATTATCTAAAGGCTGTAATTACTTTTGATTGCATTAATCAGAGTTTTGCGTTTTTCGTAACAGTTTGACAAGCACTGTGCTGTCTGCTGTGTGCTGACTGACATCTACATAGTATATAATGGACTTGTGGGGCTGTGCCATAAAGTATCGCCGCTGCATAGCCCATTAAGTCTCCCAGTTGATAGCTGGGCTGCTGGCTGCCACCCACCCCCTGGCTGGCCTTCAACCATCATCCCAAGTAGAGCTCTCCGTGCATGCGCCGAGCTTATGATCAATGCAATTATATATGTATATATAACTGTGTGGCACACACAATCGTTCGAGTACGAGCCTATAGCATATACTCTGTATGCAATTTTGAATTGAGCTCACGTCATGACAATAGGAAAATGTATTTGTATCTTTGCTCTACCCATTCCAATCCCCGTCACCCGCTGTCTCTGGTTGATTTTTTTTTTTCACCAGCCATTTGCTGATTATCGCATCATCCTCCTAAAGATGCCAATGGGATGCCCCCCACCAGCTTCAGTCGGATATATTTGTCGATCAAAATATGCATGAAAGAAGGCAAAAGGCAAACAGAAATAGAGTTGAAATTGGAATTGGAGTTGGAGTTGGAGTTTTGCAAAGACAATTGCCATGGCAATTTGCAATTTGACCGCAAAACGGAAAACGTGAAAATGCTGGAAGGAAAAGCCAACAAAAGCAACTAACAAAGTGAAATCTCCTCCAGCAGCAGCAGCAGCAGCAGAGACAGAAAAGCGTACAGCAAATTGGGATTGATGAGGCCCCCAGTCCCGGAGTCCAAATGTCAGCGAAAGTTTGACAATCAAATTTGATGTTGGCGGCCATTGACTTCATTTCAGTTGAAATAAATTCTGATAATTGCCAGCAGATCGAACCGAAAAAGCCCATAAAGCAACAGGGGATCGCGATAACTATTCCCATAATTGTTTTGGGATGGAAATTTATGTCTAAAGATGCCCGTAGATATGTTAAAGGAGCTTTGGATGGCAAGCAGGTAAACGAAATATTTGCTGCTTGTATTCCTCTTTCTATTCTTGACCTTAAAATTCCTTGCCATATTTCGTCTGTCTTTGGCACTAACAGATGCATATTAAGCACCACGAAAAAAAATGTATACAGGGGGGAAAATATTTTGCATTATAAATGCATTCGCATTGCACAACTGCGGCCACAATTGGGTGGAGGTAGAGGTCCGTGTTGGCATTTTATTAATAAACACGTAGGGAAGCGACGAATCGAAGGTTCTTACTGTTATGTCGGGTACTGTGTCCCTGATAACCCCCCGGAGCGGCAACCCAACCAAACAAAGGCAATGGACCCAGATAGAAATACAAAAATGGTTTCTTTTCGTATTTATTTTTTTTGATTTCTGCTGTGAACTGCAGTAAATTTTTCATTTCACTTTTGTCACATCTGCAGCCAAATAATTCTGACCTTGAAAGTGGGATGTTATACATACGTACATATGTATTTATCTGCATATATGTATATGCATATATATATATTCCTGGTATATTTGTATGACATCAGATTGCACTGCCTTTGTTTCTTTTATAGTAGATACGGGTACGTGTATCGTAGCTTAGCGCATATTTTCGCACAGAATTTTGTTGTTTTTGCTAACGCCCTGGCCTTGATCCGTCCGTGGATTATATAAGTCTAGATATATGCGATATTGTTAGCCGTAAACAATACCCAGTCATTGTCTGGTCGAACCTAATGATCTTTTGGGGCCATCGAAATTAGCTTGTGCCGCTATCAGTGAGCAAAACAAAACAAAACAAAAACTATTCGCCAACTCACTCCATTTCCGATAAGCCCCACCAGCCCAGACAGACGCGCCAGACAGGCCCGACTATGCTAATAATTTTTTCTATTTTCTAAATAGTATTATTTACTATACCCACACGTATGTATACTCTATAGATTGGGTAGGGTCTGGCCTGGCGTGTGTTGCAAACGAGCCGACAGTCGAAAGTTCAGTTCGGGCTTTGCCTTGTTCAATTGATTGCAGCTCCAACTCTCCAGCTGTTGGAAGTGGAACGGGGGAGGGCTGTGCTAATGAACTTGAACTAATTTAGCAGAACTGACAGCTGCACAGATCAGGGTGTGGGTTAGTACAAACACACAGAGGAGTGAGAGCTATACAATGATTGATAGATGTAGTGAAAGGAATGGACTTCCGACTGGAAGCTAACAAAAAAAATAGAGTAATATAAATGGTATGTCTGGAGTGTATATATTCATTATATTTACGTATATTGTGTAAGCATTAGTGAAAATTTCATCAGCGATCTAGCCCCGAACAAAAAGTTCCGAAAAATATTTTTACCTTTCTTAAAGTATTTCACAAACAAAGAGCAATATCATATCTAAAGCTTTCTAAGTGCAAACCAATACCCAATCTATATGAACACACACACACTCCCATGCACAGTATACATATATACGTATGTATATATCGTTTGAAACGTATCTCTGATTAGCTTAAAGCTTTTGGGTGCCAAAGTGCGAAAGTGCGAAAGTTTCTTTTGTTTTGATGGAATTTCGTTTGTGTTTTTATTTTGCTGAATTTCCGTTTTTTTGGGTAATAACAAAAACAAACTGTAACAAACACTTGTTGTGGTGAGGGGGGAATGGGTGGTAAACTTTCACGACATTATGCAATATTTGACACAAGAAGAGCCTCCTCCGACTGACGTCAGCCCTGACCTTGGCTGCGGGAACAACCCACAGAAGCCAGCACTACTACACTACTGCAAACACGAGCAACTAATTGCAGACCAATTGAAAGAAAATTCGATCGATTTGCAGGAGGGGAGATCGCTCACCTTAGGTGATGACAGCCTGGCGGCAAGAACTTTGTGCACAAAACAGAGGCGAACGGGATAAATTGGAAGCAAATCAGATACACAGATGCACAGATGCACAGCCACGGGTAAACAGATACAGATACGGGATACAGCAGAGCCACACACTGCGGAGATACAGCCAAGTCGACACTCGATTGCCAACTGAAATGGCAAACGGGCAAACAACGGAAGCGCATTTGAATTTCAAAAGTGGACGCAAGAACAAAAGCTACCTACACACACTGCAGAGTTCTGTTCCACTACACTGACTGGTACGTATCTGTATCTGTATCTGCATGTATCTGCATGTATCTGTATCTTTTAACGTATGTATGTGATGTTGTTCAGCTGCAGTTTAGCTAAAAGTTCTTTCTTTGCTCACTCACAATCTTTCAAACAAACTCTTTGCACTCACTTGTTCGTTAATCGTTTTGTGTTCATTTATTTACCTAATCTTTTTGTGTGAGTTTTCACTTTCCTTCTGCTGCACTCGATCGGAGCGGTGCGGCGGCTGCGTTGCGTTGCGTTTCAAATATCAAATGCGAATGGCAGTCCAGCAGTCAGCAGTCAGCAATCCCCCCGTTTGGCTCTGAAGAGCTGCTCAGAGAGAGAGAGAGAGACAGTCCGACATACGAGATACGAGCGGGAGAGAGAGTCGCAGCGGAGCCAGAGCAATGATCGTGTGAGCGTATCTAAGCCCATAATTATGTATTTTTTTAAAACGCAAAAAGCGTTTCCACACGAGCGGGGGGGCAGCACAAATACACTGCTGCAAAGCGCCAAAATTATGCTCCCAAGCAGCTGTGCAGTCGCTGGCTTCGTGTTCCCCGTTATATGTAGAGAGAGAGAGAGAGAGCGAGCGAGAGAGAGAGCAAACGATCATACATAAGGTTCGTGATTTTTGTTTACTAACAAAACCGAGCAACACACTCACTCTCTCTCTATTGGGGTCTCTTTCTCTATATATGTATATCTACATGTATATATATATATATATACATATGTATATGTGGTATATCTTTCTCTCTCGATCAGCTGCTCTGACGTTTGCGCATTTGACACACTTTCCTGGCCGCTCGCTCTTCCCCCCTCCCCCCTGCCCAATGCTGATGCTGCTTTTTTGTTGTATCTGTTAGATACTTTTCTATGAGTACTCGTGTCAGATGCCTGCCAGACTAAGTGGCTCTTCGCTGCCAACTTGCCCCACGAGCTTTGGCTTTGTGCTAGCGAGTATCTAAGTGACTAAGCCACACCACTAGAGGCTGGGCGGGGGGCGGTGTGGGGGCAAAGTAGTAACCAGCCAGCCAGCTGGTTGGTGGCCTGCGCCTGCTTCAAAGTTCAATTTGAGAATACAGTTTCTGTGCTGCTGCTGCTGCTGCCTCTAATATTTTCAGATGTTTAATGCCAAGTCACGGATGCCAGAACGGAGCCAGTCGGAACGCATAAAAATGCTAATGAAATGGCGGGCCGAGAGAACTACTCGTGTTAGCCAAAGTGTCATTCATTTTGCGGGGGCAGCAACATTGACGGCATTCAAAGTGGCTCTGGGGAAGATTACTCGACTATCGCATTATGCAATACGAAATCAATTCAAATACGACATGCCCATAATAATCATTAAGTGTCTCCGCAGCTCAGCTGCTGTGTGCAAGGCAGATACGGTGAGACTTTAGCTGGGGAATTAATTCCAGATTTCACATGCACAAAACTTGGGCAGATCTTGTTCAAATTTTATTCGAATTGCATACAAATTTGGTTCCAATTAATTATTTTCTAATTAATTATTGTGTGGCCAATTTATCGCCAACTACACAATCAATTTATTTGTGTGCCACCCATTAAAAATAAAATTCCATTTCAATGATGATAATGCTCAAACCCCAAAAATACATACTATCTATGTATGCATGTACATATGTATTTCTGGCAACAACCTCGCGGCCAGGTTCAAGGTTGTGTAGCCATTAGCTTGTTCTTCTCTATGTTTCTATATATTTTTAGATATTTTATCATGCAACAGCTGACACACCATCGAGCAGCTCTGAGCAGCGACAAGTTGGTAGCTTCTGGCAGTGCGAGAAAGCGAGAGAGAGAGGAAAGTAAAGTGCGCATACAGGTGCCAAAGAGCAGCCAAAAGATCTTTAGATGTATAAGATATATACAGAAATTTATGCATACATATAGTTACATACATATATGAAATCTTGTGATTCCACCCTTACGCCTCATTGGCCTAAAACACACAAAACTTTTCCCCATAAATCTAAGTCCGCACGCGTACTGTTTATGTTTGAAAAAAAATTCCCCGCCCCACACACTTTCATGCCCAGAAGAGGTAAACAATATATTGGGATTGGATTGGATTGGCGTCACAAGAAGACGCCAACGAAAACAAAAAATCACAGAACTTGCTCGTGTGTTTACGCACAACAACACTTTAAACTCAAATAAACAACAACCAAACGAAACCGAAACGAAAGGCAACGAAATTGTGGAATACTTATCTTTGGTCTTTTCTGTCCTAATCTTGTAATGCTTATGCTACTGGGAGTGAAGGAAGGGTGGACAGGCAGGCACATGGACCCATAAATTATAACATCTCGTGTCACCCCCAACAAATGTTTGGCCTTTGCCAGCTAAAAAAGACGAGCCAGCAAGCGAGCGGCTAGCATCAAAGTGGGCAGTGGATTGGGCAGCATTTCTTTGTGGGGTTATTGCGCATACTGCGCTGGAGCAGCACTGTACTCCACTCCACTCTATTGCGAGTGAGCATAGAAACTTGAAGCTTGCACTGCGCAGTTTTTGAGTTGTGAAAATAAGACGAGACGACGACCAGCGACATCCAACAGTGAGAACAATAACCATAAAGCAAATGACAAACGCCAACGCATCGACAGACGTGAAGCTACTTTTTTGTCCTATTTTATGTTCGCGTATTCATTCGGTTGTGTCTATGCTTGTGTTCCGATGAATGTGATATCTTTCAGCTGGATGCATGTAGAATTCGTGGTAATGCATACCATATGAGATACACAATTCCCATAGAATATGTTTAGTTTTTTCAGTGGCTTTTGTGTACGAGTATGGTGGATTATACTTGAAATTCGTTGGCTTAACTAGGAATAGAAATGTTTCCATTCCTCTCTGCATAGCTATAGTCATTAAAGCCCAGCAGTGCCCAACTAAAAGCTCTGTTGAGATGACGCAAACGTCTGCCCACACGCAGGCAGGGACACACTTGTCTTGTCCCACTGTACGGGAATGCTAAGAAGAAGCAGGTGGAGAAGGTGTGTGGATGTACATTGGGCAAGACTTGGGCAAGTTCATTGTGTGGTTGGTTGCAGCTTATCAAACGATCGATGATAAATATGGCCTTGCCTTGCCTGGTTGCTCTGTCACCACACAACTGAGAAATGACTGAGAATTTCTATATACTCGTATGCGCGAGAGATTTCAAGTTCGGCGTACCTTTGGCTGCACTGCACTTTGCCTGTGTGTTAATACATTAATGGCATTTAGATGAGCTTTTTTTAATTATATATTTATATACATATACAGACTGTATAAATGCTTGTTTTATAACGCGTAATTTCAATTAGTACGTGAAACGCAGTTGGCTGTTTTTGTAATTTTTTGTGTGTCTTCTTAGATGGAATCGCCTGGGCACGACGCATTAATTTTATCACTTTGTTTATCAATATTAGTCCCAGTCGCAGTGACAGTCCCAGTACCCATCCCATCTGTTCTATATGTGTATTAGAATAGGGTCAGTCACAGCTCTAGCTGCAAGCTAATCAATCAATGTGATAGTCAAACAGTGAATCGGTTTACGCGCCCTTCTATTCCTAGATTACATCAGGGCTATAGCTAAAGCCCCACCTCCCTCTCTCTCTCACCATCTCTCTCTCTCTCTCTCTCTGTCTCTGTCCCTAATGACGACTGCAAATGAATGCTGCTCATCATCAGATTAATTGTAGATGCCAAAGTCTGTATTCTACTCATTTAAACTAATTGAAAATTGTCGTAATTTAAGAAAAATAATAATACAGAAATGCCACTTACTATTTGTATTTATAGTAGTGAGTCCTATAATAATTATTTTCCTAATGAAAATGGCAACAAATTTAATAGATTTTTAAATAAAGTGATTCTTAATTAAAGAGCTGATGAGGCAGTGCAAATAATGAACCAAATACATACGCATTTCTCATTTGATAATCTCTTGCGAATTGAATGGAAATTTCCTGAATGAACATGCATCTTCAATGACCCACTGAAAATGCTTTAAGGATGGGGATGGCAGCTCGCATAATGTCATCATTTAAACGTGTCAAATGTCGCTGGAGCGTTGGCAATTAAAATGAAAATTGATGGCAAAATGCAAAACGACAAAGGACACCAGCTGGACACCCTACACCCCCCTGTACAGACAGAGGGATAGAGATAGAGAGAGAGAGAGCGCGAGCGCGAGCCCTAACTGACAGATAAAAATAGTTGGCAACGCAGTTGGGTTACGGAGTAACTGTAACAGTTACTGTTACGGATTTTCCCCTATTTTCAAGGAGAGAGGAGAGAGAGAGAGTGATAGCTACTGCTCTCTCTCTCTCCTTCTCTCTCCCTCTTGCTCTTTCTCTGGGTTTGGAATTTTGTTTACAAACAAAATTGTTTGACCTGCGCAGTGGTTGATGATGGTTTTTCCCTCACATTTCCATTTTCCCTGCTGACTGCTGCCTGGTGCCTGGTGCCTGCTGCCTGATTACTTAGCAACCTTCACAGGGGACCCTACATACAAATATGGAATGTTTTGGTCGACTCTCTCTCCTCCACTCTCCACTCTCTTTAACTGCAATTATGTGTGGCAGTGTGTGTGTGTGTGTGTGGAGAATGTATCTATGTGTATCTAAAGTAAAACGAAACGACTTCCGCGTTTATTTGGGGGAAAATGTAGGCCCAGTAAAAGTTTCTGCAGCTTCCCGCTCTATGCTCTTGTAGGGGGGGGTGCCATTCTGCTCTCAGCAGCGACACCCAGAGTACCCCATACCGCCGCATACCCGTGTACGCCCCCCTTTGCCTTTGGTTAAGCTGCAAATCGATGAAAGGTTCGTTCTAGCCTGCAAAATCAACGCCAGTGGAAAATGAACACGTCAGCAACCCCCAGTCCCAATCGAGCGCTGGGCTGGGGCACTGCCAGGCACTTGAGGGGTACTGCGCAGTGTGTGTGAGTGCAGTTACTGGGCCTACCTGGGGACACGACACAAACAGAACCACCCCACCACTGGAAACCCTCCTCCTGCAGCTGCGTTTTTCTTGCTTTCAGAATTATGACATAATTTTCGACATTTGATGCGCAGTCAACAACAACCAAAAAAAAAAAAAACCTTGCATAACTTATTCGCCGCGTATGTGACTTGAACTTGACTTTTGGTATCGTATCCTTCCCAAATGACAAACTCGTTTCTACACTCACTTTCTTGCTGCGCTCTGCCTCCTTGTGGCCCTCTGGCAGGGCCATAAATCAGGGACGACATGAAAGGACCTGTCAGAGAGAGAGAGAGAACCCGAAACCGTAGCCGTAACCGTAACTGGAACCCAAACAACACGATCAAGTGTTCTTTTTTTTGGGTATTCGTGTATGTGCCACATAGACAGGCGTAATTACAGTTGCTGAAAGTCGACAGTTGACTAACTTTCTAATTATAGTCGGGGCGGCGCATTATCTCCGCGTCCGTCGTCGGGGCCCTCAATGCGTGCCATTTTGGGATTAGCGCACCACCAGCTGCCATGCCATGGCAGCTACCTGATGTTGCTGGCATTGTGGTGGCAATGTGGTGTACCCGATAGGTTGCTTGAGACCTGAGACCCTGAGACCCTGAAACCCGCGGGAGGGGGCCGCCCTGACAAAAACTGCCGCGTCAGTAGTCGGTAGCAAAAACTGTGCCGCACTAATTAAAGCCACTAATGCCGTCTAACGATGACTTAATTGTTTCCATTTCCCTGCTTGCCTGATGCAGCCTGATGTCTGAAAAGCCTGATGCAGCGTCTTAAAGTTGGCCAGAACCATATAAGACTAGGGACCAGTTCAAAAATAGCACACAAAGGAATTGACATGGCTCCTAGTCGGATTTGTAGTAGTACGGGCCTGCTGCTACGGCTGTTGCTGTTGCTGTTGTTGTTGGTTACCCTTTTGGCCAATTAAAGCGGCCAGATTCGTTGGTCGTGATCTTGCCACACTGCAAAGCGAAATGTATCTGGCAGATACACATACAAACAGCACTGCCACTGCCAAGCAGCAGCACCAGCAGCAGCATCAGCTGTTTTGCTGTTGATGTCGTTTCCTTTTTCGTTTTGTTGTTTCGTTTCGTTGCGTTTCCTTTTGTTTTTCAATTTTTCTTTCGTTACCACAGACAAACAACTGGCCAGACTTGATTTATCATCCCGTACTACTTCTGCAGCTCCCCTCCTCCCCTGTGCACCTACCATCCCTACTCTCCACTCCACTCCGCTCTCAGCTCTGTTTGGACAATGGACAATGGGCAAACTGCAAGCAAGACCTGTTCTGCACATTTTGCTGGATGATTCACTTGGGTTTTGGGCCTTCTTTTTTTGTTTTTGTTGTTTGGTGGTGGCCCCTCTTCCAATGCCTCTCCTTGGAGTGGATGTGGAATCTTCCCCATCTTTGTCTTGCAACGCGACCTGGCATCCAGCCAGCCACTAATTTTGGCCATTGAAATGCTCTCCACTCGCATGTATAGTTGAGGAAATAAATGCCGCAAGGCTAATTAAGATGTTAATCAGCGAAACATTCATTGCACTTGTCATCAGCGTGCCTGATGACAAACCATGAACACAAAACACACAATATACAAATCTAAAACAATCATGATCCGGGGGAGGGGCCAAAGCAAAGCTAAACGATCCCCAAAGGAGAGGGAGGGAGGGAGGGAGGCTGGGTAAAACGTATCTGAACTCTGATAACGATCGCCAACACAAATGCTGAAAACGTGATGCAAGTCAAATTTATGGCCATTAGATGGATGCAATGCAATGGAAACTCGAATCTTATTGGGGGGAGTGCTACACTGGGGGCTCTGGCATAAAGAACTTTGGCAGAGCCAAAGGAGGCTACACACAGATACACACAGTACACACACACACACACAGACAGCAGACAGACACTGCTGAATTCACACAAAAGTGTGAACTCTTTGGATGCGACGAAGGTGCAATCAGATTCTGTTTTTGTGCATTTTGTGTATGCATCGCTTGGCTGAACTTTCAGATGTGTGTACGAGAGGGTACCCCATGCAAATGCAGCTAAAACAAACTTTAAATAATCGTAGCATGTATATCATATATGCATATACATACAGATATGTAACTACATAAGATTTACTGCTTGTATGCCCTTTACTCGTACTTCACTTTACTTTGCTTACTTCCGCTCAAAGTTTTTGGGGGTTAAAAATGTTGCACTTACTTGCTGCTTGGAGTTTATTGATCTGTCGATTGTTGCAGGGTGCGAGAGAGCGAGAGAGACCTTCTTCTCCTACGTCAGAGCCACACAGTTCTAGGTAACACCCGGAAAAACTGGGAATATTTTGCAGTGCAAAATATTCACAATTTTATTTTAATTGTTTTTTTTTTTTTAATTTTTCTGATTGTTTCCGTTTTTTGCGTGTGTTTGTGTGTGTGCGGAGGGGGTGAGAACTGACTGAGTGGCAGCGAGCGAACAGCAGAAACTCCGTGTCGTACGACTTTTGGCGAGCGAATGATGGTTGGATGGTTGGATGGTTGAATGGTGGATGGGCCCAAAAACTGGCTGACTGCCTGCCACAGTGGCCTGCACTGGTATTGGTCGGTTCACCAGCTGAGCTCCGACACAGAAACGGTGGCTGCTGCTGCGCATGTGCAGTGTGTGCAGGAGAGTCGCACTCGATGCTCTACCATAACGCAGCAGAGAAAGGTTTAACCTTCAGGTTGTGGCAGAGAGTGGACTGGAAAAGGTTCGCTAATGATGAAAGTAAAGCAACATAAAACGCTCTTCTAGATATTATTTTTCTAAGCATATTTTATATTTTATTTGTTATCCAGAGCACAGTTAAAGCCATATAGGGAATTCCATGTTCGTATGGATCCACAAGCAACTAGCATACTATTTTGTACTTTTGCTCTCTCGCTCTCTGGGACTCTCTCTCCAGCAGCTGACTTTTGTTTGTATACAAAAATCATATTGTGAGAGCAGAGCAGCAATATAAATGTCAGAGAGCAGACAAAATCCAGAGAGAGTGAATAAATAATGAACAAGGGGAAACTTGAAGAAATGAGGGTTGTATTTACATACTTACATATTCAATTAAATTCATATTCGCAAACTATGTTCAGGAAAAAATATATATATGAAAAATATGTAAGCATTTAGGCTGAAAGGTATTTTACTAGCATAATTCATATTCCATCTGTTAAATTTGAATATTTGAAATTCGATAGATATTTAAGCAACCCTGAAGAATACCCCAGTCGATACAGCAAGAAAATGCAACCTTAAATTTAAATACTTAAATAATACCCTGCCGGGTGTGACCAGTTTAATACCGCACTGCAATCGATGCATCGATAACACGACCTGTGGAACAACGCACGTGTTTACTTTTTTCGGCAACGCAGTTTCTTTTCGCATTCATTTTCTCGGGCTGTAGACTGAATTTCCAGCAAAAATGGGCAGACAAAATCGCTCCCGCAAGCGTCGCGATGAAATGAACAAAATAAAGAAGGCGCGCTACGACGCCAAGGAGTTGATTCGTCTGAAGAAGACGCTGGGCCTGCTGGATGCCGATGGCAACGAGATCATGAAGGATATTGCCGATGTGGTGGAAATCAAAACTTCCAAGGAGATCAAGCGGGTAAGCAGATCAGCGGATGTATGCAATGCAGTGGCCAAGCTAACAACGCCGCCATTTTCGAACAGGAGGCCAAGACCAGGGAGCAGCAGGAGCTGATCTTCGAGCATCAGGAGAGCCTGGAGAAGGGCCAGAAGGTGAAGGTGACCAACGACAAGACTGGCGTGGAGCATGTCTTCAACAGCAAGACTCTCAAAGATCAGTACGGCAATTATCCGGCCTGGTTCAAGAAGAAGAAGACCGCCAAGCGTCTACGCAAGAAGCAGCATTCGCAGAAAAAGAACTTCAAGCAGGCCTGGACCACAGTTAACGTGCCGCTCTAAGACACCGCTGGGGGAAGGGATTGAAACGCATAGGTAGAGTAAGTTCAGGTAGAGTCTGGAAGAGCTGGTAGGCGCAGCAGAGTGCCTACAAAAGCAGCCAGCCGACTTGTGTATGTTATAGATAAGAGTTTATATTGCATATTAAAGCCTTAAAACTAGACGTGGATTCTTAAAGCTTGCGGCAGCGGCACAAAACAATTAACTATCGTGATGGAACAACAACGCTTAAACTAGACACGCAGGAAGGGGATAGCTGCCGCCTGCACATTGCACAAAAACGAACACAAAAGACAAGGAAATTTAACTAATAGAAGGAGGAGGATCTCCCTATCTGTCGCAGTCACTGAAGGGTACAATAGCTGCGCACACTGCTCATGACCCCGGTGGTGGCTGACTCCAGGCGCCGCGTGTTTGCAGACCACATGTGCGTGGTGGCCAGGGCCGAGGACATGGCCCTAGGTCATTCGGGCTTCTCCTTCAGTTCCAGTCTCTCGGCTGTGTCGCCATTCGCCTCTGGCTGCTGCTCCTCAATGTTCCCGTGCATAACATTTGGATTGGCCTTCAGCACAGAGCCGCCTGTGAAGCCGAGTATGCCACAGCCGACGGCGGCCAGTCCGCCAACCTTCAGGCCAGCCACCATGCCAATGGGTCCGCCCACACAGGTGCCCAGCAGAGCACCCATCACCGGGTACATGGCCTTCTTGTAGGTCAGGGCAGAGCGCAGCGATCGTTCGCCCGACTGCACATTCTCCAGCGCCTCCTCGGCGTTGTCGGCTATGCTCTGAACAGCCACAGACTGCTCCGCAGTCAGCTGCCGCATGCCGTGGAACATGCCGTTCAAGTCGGAGATTTCACGCTGTAGATTCTCCATTTGGTCGAGGCAGGCCTGCCGCTGCAACAGTTGATGCTCCTCCAACTGGAAGTTGACCTCCAGCTGCGGCATGTGTTGGTGGGCTGGCAAATTGCCAATGTCTGCGTGCTGCAGCTGATTGTCCTGCTCCTCGTCGTACTGCGAGCCCACCGTTGAGGTAGGAGATTTGAGCTGCAGTTCTACAAAGCCACAAAAAATCAGATTTAATCTCGTCAAGAGCGGTCTGGAGACGCTCAACCTACCCGCAAAGCATTTCATGCCTGCAAAAGCCCTCTCCTTGCCCGGACGCATCAGCTCGTCGAAGCGCTCACGATCCTCCTCGCGCACCTTCTCCCGCAGCGCGTCCATTTCGAGTAAGAGATTCTTGATTTGTTTGATGACGCGCATTGCGTTGAGCTCCTCCCGCTTGATCTTCTGCCAGTCGCCCAGTGCCAGGCTCTTCTCGATGTTGCTGCGATGGTTTTGCAGCAGGCCCAGATGGTGGGGCACGGCTGTGTCCTGGAAGCGCTGCACCGAGATCTCGGCCTGCTTCAGTGGCAGCTTCTGGTCGCCAGTCATCGTTGTTGTTGTTGTTGCTGCTGCTGCTGCAGCTACTGCACTTTGTACCTGCTCCAATTTAAAAAGTGAAAACTACGCTGCTGTGGGGCGTGTGGGAGCACTCGCTCCACCCGTGCCCGTGCCCTTGTCCGTGTCGTAGGTCCAAGCGATTTCTTTGTTTTTGTTGCGCTGCGCAATTGACAGTTGTTTTCCCTGTGACGTCACTGCTCTGCTCTGTGGGTTGGATGCAGATTCCGAATCTGTCTTCAATGTCGATCCACTAACGGTCGGATTATGCGGGTCGCGTCCCAATCAAACGCTGATAAAATAATTCTATTGTTTTCCATCTCATGGTACGTACGTATATATATATATATATATACAAACATTTATTTATATCGATATACTTAAGATACCATTTTTGGTATCGATGGTTTTGTGCGATAGATGGCATATGGCCTACGTGAGAAATCTCCTAACGCGTGATATTTTCGCACAGCTGTTTTTAAAACGGTAAAAGGCGGCAAAAAGAAAACACTTGAATTGGGAAAATGCATTTATTTGTGCAATGAATTTCTCTCATATACATTATAATTATATACAGATACATGCAAAAACTAAACACTGACTGACACACACATGGGAGCAGTGCCGGCGATGCGGCGATCCTCAGATCGTAATACACTTATGACACGTTTCATCGCTTAAGTACTAAGTTCTGGCTGGTTCTAGAGACTACAGAGGCAGGCACTCGCATTCGGGAATGGCTTACAAGCAGGAGCATGGTGGTGCGGTTTGTGATATGTGGTAACACGAACAGAATAGACAATTAAATTAACTAAACATTTAATTTATATTAGTTTTTTTGTTTATCGTAGAGAAATGCAGTTCTTTGTGCCCTCGTCGACCCCTAGGGACAGTTGGCATTGGGGCCATTTCGGCACTTGAGCAGTAGATTGAGCATCCCCTCCAGTTTGTTGGTGCGTGACTCCGTCTTGTACAGATTCGTCTGCAGGCGACTCACGTCCTGGGCTTGCTTTTCCTATCGGGGAAGAGGACCAAGAGGATCAAATCAGAGTACGCCGCGAGTATGACATTACCTTACCAGTGTGCTCAGCCTCGTCTGTAGCGTGTCCACCACACTGTATGTGGCCTGGAGAGACTTCTGCAGCTCGTTAGTGTGCACCCGCTCATTGGCCAGCGAGCGTTCGATCTTCTGCAGCCGCGTGGCCACCTCGGGATCCATCTCATCAATGTCGTTCTCAAGATCTCGCGCCTCGAAGGCATCGTCGCCGTGGGAGGAAACCTTCCTGCAGCTCTGCTGGTCCGCCTGCAGCTCAAAGCCCTGCCTGCAGCGACAGAAATAGGAGCCGGGTGTGTTTACACACTGCTGGTCACACGGCTTCTCAACGTGGCACTCGTTCACATCCAACTCGCAGTGGCGGCCCGTATAGCCAGACGGACAGGAGCAGGTCTGGGGAGCCGTGCAGTTGCCGCCGTTCTGGCAGCGCGTGGAGCAAACAGCTAAGGTAACAGCAAGGAGATTATGATAGTGAAAGATCTGCAATAAATCAAGGAAACTCACGTTTCATGCACGCATCCGCACGCGGATTCTCCCGGCTCCAGCCCGTACAGCAGTCGTAGGTCATCTGCTGGGCCGTCTTGTGCTTGATCACGTCCCGGTAGGCCGGCTCGTGGACCACCTGCACCCGCGTGCACATCTGCCCCGAATAAGATTGTGGCTGGCAGGGCGTGCTGATGTGCTTCCAGGTGGGGCGCGTGTACACCTCCGTCGTCTTGACGGGCATCGTGATTGTCCGCTGCTGCGCGCAAATGTGTCGCCTGCAATGTAAAACGAGAGCAAGGTGTGAATTGGATTCGGAGTTGGCAGATGGGAGCGTGGCCTGAGGCTGACCCAAATCAGCGGATCATCTGCAAAAGTGAAACTGACTTTTCCAGCCGAATACCCGTGCCAGACACCAGCCAATTACTGTCATAATACAAGAGTGGCCAACAGGTTGGCCAGCAGCGCCCAGCAGCAGCTGGTCTGTCTGCGAGCTCGCCTCCGCTTTGACAATTGTCACAAGTGTCCCCAGGTCCAGCTGCCAGCGGATCGGACAACTTGCTAGCCACGATACGAATGTGTCTGCCTGTCAATATCTGCGATGACAAACACGACACGGACCACTGACTGGCTGGCCACGCAGCTTCATTTGTGGAGGCCAAACGAACAAAACTATTTCGAGGAGCAGCACCAAAAGTGCTCCAATTCACGGAATAGATAGCGGAATGGTGGTTGGCGAGGCCTTCTAACCTGGTGCAAAAGGTGGAAACTACACAGAAACAGGGAGATTTCAGTCCTTCTAAAACTATATGTCTTACAATGCTCTCAAAACCTATCGCTGCAATCACTTCAAGCTTATTTTCAATTATAGGGAATAGCAAAAAGAGAGCATGGAATGAGAGAGCACATAAGCTGTCTGCGCACCTGTAACCCCCTCTCACCCCCTCCCGGCCAACAGTTGTCCCTTCGATCTCCCTTTGCATTAGGAGAGACAGAAAAAGTATGCAAATTCCAATAGGCAAGCAATTAGGAAGAGGAGCAGAAGGAGAGCATGCAATGTGCGAGCAATAAGGAAGTGGACTAGAGGAAGAGAATGGAATTGGAATGAGCACTAAGTCACGTACGCATCTGTCACGCTCTCCCTCTCACAAATTACTATTTTTCATGTGCCTTGAGCGTGCGTTCCCAAGTTAGTTCTGCGTTTCGGCCTAAGCAATCCTAAGGAAAATATTGCTTAAATGCAAGAAAAGTGAGTGATCGAATGTGGAGGCGAACAATACGCCAAAAGTGCATAGAAGAGGATGATGGCAAATTAAAATCAACGGGAATGTGTGCAAGTAAATGCAAAAAGTGTTTCATATGTCCGTAAATATGTACAAAAGAATTCATTTATTTTTGTTTACGTGCAAAATGTGGGCTTGGACATGTGATCCCCTGTTTGTCCTGTGCGTGTGTGAAAATTATGCAAAAACGGAGCTCTTTCTCACTCATTGCTGTAAGAGGCGCACTTCTAAAAAAAAAACTGAAAACAGGCCAAATTCTCTAGCGGATTGCAGAAAGAAGTGGAGTACTATGGATGAAAGGGTGAGTTTTATTTATTGTTTCAGGGTGTACAAATTTGATCGCCTTTGTTTTTCCAGTTTCCAATATTCTCAGCTCAATCGCAGTTAATATCGATCAATCTATAGTCGCAGAAATCTAGTGGTATCGTGGAATAGAAAAAACACCAAACAAACATTTTCTTAACACTTCACCTATGCTTTCCAGTGGCTTGCAAAACCCCGCCGTTATTATTCCACTGTTCAGGCAATGCTCCTTAGACCTTTGGCCCGCAAGCTGTAAAACCGAAAGAGCGTTGATAATAAGCGGTTTATTTTGATTCGGGTTGCCAAAAAAAGGCAAAACTGGCCCAAAAGCGAGGTGCATCCATAAATTGCCAGGCTTCGACTGTATGTTGGTGCTGGTGCTGCTGCTGATGCTGCTGCCACGGCTGCTGATGGTGTCGTAATTGGCAATGCGGGCCAAAAACAATTGCAAGCGCGTGACGTGGCCGCCACTGAGTGACGACCTGACGACGACTGGCCGACTGTTTGACTACCGCTCGAACCGCTTGGATGGTTTTTGGCCCCCAACCCCAAGCCGTTGCAGATTTTTGCACATTTTCTCCCTCGGTTTTATTTTTTGGCCGAAAATTTGGTGCCTTACAAAAGAGCAACGCGACGCGGGCCTCGAAAGTGGCACACAGTTGGCATGGGTCCTGCGAGCGGGACATTTAACAATTTCTTTATTGCTGCACATGCATATTTATGTGCTGACTTGGCTTGTAGCTGTTCCTGTTACTGTTACTGGTACTGGCTTACCCCCGCCCCCCCTGTACCATAATTCTCACGTTATTTATGCGCCAGCATTCTCGGATCTCGACTCTCTCAGTAAAGGGCGCCACCAGCGAACGTATGGGGCAAGAGCCCCAGAAACAATGAAAAGAACGGGCAACGAGGAACGGGAACTGCAACAGCAACAAAATGCGGAAGTTTTTCTTACGAAGAAACTGTGCCAACAAAGTGCAACATGAAATGCTCATTCCCAATCCCCAATCCCCCATTTCCATTTCCATGCCATGCCACTCCGCTGCCTGCATAAATCTCCATCCACGAGCGGGTCAGAAACAGATCCCCCCACGACTACCCACTGGGCCAGACAGCGCCAGACAGTGTGAATGGCTTCATTGCTTTGTTTAGAAACGTTTAGGCTAAAATTAAATTTGAATTTTTAATTGTTAAGGGCCTCGTCCGCCCAAACCAAACCAACGAACGAACACCTGTGGACTGACTGACCTCCCCTCAAGCTCTGGGCTTTCCTTTACAGAGAAAGATGAGATGAGCTGAGCTGAGATCGCAATGTGGCAGGGAAACCCTTGACAGACCCATAAAATTATAAAAACATCCATCAAAATTCTCAGCCAGAGAGCCGTACCAAAAGAGCATCAGCAGCCACAAAATGAAATGCAGTCTGAGGGGCCAATTAATCAAAAATTAAAAACTGTTGAATTTTACAAGAAATGCAACCAGCCAACGAAATATTGGTTCGGCCTCCGCTTCGGTTAGTGCCACGATCCGAAAGATGTTCGCCAAGATGGGGGGATAGGATGGGGCGGAGAAAGAGCCAGATGTGGATGAGGGGCCAAAGTTTGAGTGCGGTTTATTGATTTACGATTTATTTTCATTGGATGGCACGCAGAAATTGATGAGCCAGGCCAGCCGATGGCTGCAGGCCAAAAGGTGACCCAAAGCGGACCGGAGCGGAGCGGAGCGGGTGTGTGGGCTTAATGGACTGCGTCGGATGGAACCGGGGCTAATAAATGGATGCGGCTAGTGTATACACAGATAGAGTTCAAAATACATAAAAAATCACTTGATTATTCCCTCTGAAACAGGAAGAATACAAGTCGAATGAGTCACACTTGATGGAGCCTTCGAATTCAATTCAATTCTACATTAAATGGAAGTTCAGTATACTCATAAACCCAAGCCGCATTTCCTTTATTTCCTATCTTTTTAGGAAATGAATTCTCAGCAGCATCTGCTCAACTCTTGCGAGTATCCTTGACTCAAGCCCTGTAAATTGATAAAATATAATAATAAACCCCTGAGTCAAAATATTTTCCCTTCACTAAATTTAATTAATAATTTAAATACGAGGCCCCATAAATTGTCGCTATTTACTTTTGCACCTTCCATTGTGCTGGCTGGCTGGCTGGCTGGTAGAGAGCAAAACGAAACCTTGGGCGAGGGCTTTAGTGATTTATTTAAATCTTTATATTCAAACTGCCTTTTGTTTGCCATTCTCTGGACAGATGAGAGATGAAAACCAACCAATTAGCCAGATCTAAACCAGATGCAACCTTAGATGAGGAGTCATTCAATGGGTCTGCCATTTGACTTAAATCATTTTTATTGATCGTCTTTTGATGGGGTGGGTCATTTGGAAACCAGTTTGCATTTTGTCAATATCTTTACAACTGCAACGTGAATGCATTTAAGAAACAGTTAAAAGCCAAACAGTTAAAAACCAGAGCCACAAAAAACTTGGCGACACTTAACAGCTGTAAACGGCTTTAGTGCCTGGCTTTGGCCTGGCTTTAACTTTGGCTCGGACTCGGACTCAGACTCTGGCTTATATGTATGGCTAAAATATGCCGGGAAAAGTGCCAGCCTACCCCGCCCGCCAACCAACTGCTGCCTGTGTGGTGGTTGGTTATCGTGTTTCCAAATGAAAATGTGAAATAAATTTATAAGAAAACATAAAAATATTGTTGCCACAGTCATAAAATGAATTTTTATGTCCCCGTCTTCCACAGATGAGCAGGAGGAGGTGGAGGTGGAGGAGGAGGAGGAGGAGGAGGAGGAGGAGGGTAGGAGTGGGAGAAGGCAGAGTGAAAATGCCAGAGGCTCAGGCCTAAGGCTGATCCGAAAGTGCGCAGATCTGCTGGCTAACAGTTTGGGCCATTTGTGGTCCAGCAGCTAATCTGATTTGCTACATGAAATTAGAATTTAAATTGGCCAGGCCAACGAATGTGCAATTCCAGACCATACCCCGGGACAGGGGACACAGAGACAGACCTGGGACTGGGATGCCCTGGCCAAATGCATCATTAGCCCGACTGTATTTGCCTCGAATCCACCCACCCACTACCCCGCAACACGACGACGACGACGGACGACAACAAACAACGACAAGAAGAACAACCACGACAACGACAACGGCTGCCAGAAGAAGAACAACCACGAGCAGAGGAGCGTTGAACATTTTTAGACTTGCTTCCTGGTCTCGTGGTCCAGCTTTATTTGGATTTTCACTTGGCGTAAAACTGCAACGCCCCTGTGACCACAGCCCCAAATGGAGATGAAGACGATGGGCCCCACGATGGAAGCGACGTACGACGAAGACGCACTGCCTCAGCAGTTTTTCTAATAATATTTCAGTCATGTCCATGTCCAGGAACGGACCCCGGCAACGGCAACTGCAAGTGCAGCTTTCAGTTTTGTTCATTTTCTGCTAGGAGAATTATTACAGCACTCAGCAGCAGAAGTCTGCTGAAGTGGAAATCCAATATGCGACTGGACAAATACCCCGAGCTGAAATCCCCCTGGGAAAGAATGAATGTGCATCGCGGAAGCAACTTCTCTTCCTCATCCTAAGAATGGACAGGCCTCTGCTGGAGAAAATGTCTTTGAAGAACTTGTCAGCATTAAATCAGTTCGGACTTGGATGGATGTGC